ACAACTAATATCAGTAAACCCCTTTGTATGTGATGGGACATAGAGTTAGATAAATAATACTAATTATCATTGTTTGTTTTTGAAATCCTTTTGTTATTTTTACTAAATATGAGACCAGGTCATTTTCAGTTCATTCATTGCAGAAGAAGCACTACGAATATTAATGGGGTCCTAACTCCATGACTATGTAATTATTGGCTTTTAAAGGTCTTATTATTGACTTAAGCTTACTAAGGAAATGATTGATTTCTGGGTTCAAGTATTAGGATTCTTATAATGGACTAAATGAAATGGACTCGGTGAATTTCATTGGCTTAATTTTGTTACTACTGGTAGAAAATGTGAGATTAAATAAATCTGTCACATTCAAATATTTATGTGCTGTGATGCTTTCTCCTAAGAGACATAATAAAGAGTAATTTCTCAACAAGTTGGCCCCTGGTTTGACACATAAAGTCAAATCCAGCTTAATGGTTTTTGTTTGCTTTTTTTTTTTTTAATTTTTGTGCTTTCGATAATTTTCTTCCATTGCATAGCTACTTCCAGGATCTTACCTATGTCTTATAAAAAAATTAAGAATACAATATTATAATTACTGGCCTCAATGATAGCCAGTAGGTTACCATTTGAAGGCAGCCATGCCAGCTGCTAAATAACTCATCACTACATCCCTTTGGAAGTTCCTTGAAGTCATCATATTTTGTTTTTGTTGTTGTTCTTTAAAGATTGATTTATTTATGCATACAGAACTGAGGTATACGGCCAGAGGTTTAGGGGCAGTGAGAGGATTCATCAGAGACAGAGTGGGGAGCGGAATAGGCAGATCACAAAGTACACTACAGAGGGGAGCAATGGGTGAGACAGATGCACCATAAAGGTCACCTCCCTGGCCTGGGATCGAACTTGTGCAGGGAGAACACTGAAGTCATCATATTTCTATCTCAAGCAGTCTCATGCCTCATCTTTAGACATTTAGCCTACTTGGTACCTTTAGTCTGCTGTTCTTGGAAGGACTGCTTATACTTTTCAAATGGTTTGAATGGTTCCTAGACCCCCATCTTTGACTGCAGCTGATGGTTTGTTCTTGAAGTCCTGGATATCTGGTTTGGATAATATTAATCACAGAGATTTCTTCATCTCAATGGCTGTTTATAAACCTTTCCCTTCCACAGGAGGAAAGAAATCACCCTGTTAGGCAATAATCAATGAGAGTTTGGCATTGGTATCTCCTCCTCTGTTATCCAGCATAGGCCCTTCTTAACTTGACTGAAATTGTTTGGATCAAGGGTTGAATGAAGATGAGTGTACAAATATGTTTAAACATTAGCATTAACTCTGTGAGTACTGTGCTAACCATTTTGGCTATTGTTTCATGGGACAAGATTCCTATAAAGTTGTCCTGTTAGGCCAACTTTCCCATTGAAGAAACAGAAAGGTTAAATAACTTGCCCCAAGTCATTTGCTATTGAGAACTAAAGCACAGACTTGAGTTTCCTCCTATCTGTCCAGTTTCTATTACATTCCCCTTGAGATAGTTAATCAAGGATACCCAATCTCTTCAGTTATGGTCTTCTCTGTCTCTGGCCTAGGTACCAGTTCTTTGTTCCTGAGAAGATAGTGAGGCAAACTTCTTTGAATGAATATCCCATCTCTTAGTACCAAAAGTGTCATTCCAATAATTCTTCCATCTCCTTTATTAGCATGTGCTCATATATGTTTCTGGATTGCATTCAGAGAAACAAAATCAAGACCTTGGTAGTAAAAACATTCATCTCTGTCTTTTGAATATGTACTTACATTTAACTAGATGTGTGACCACGAAACAGAAAATGCTTTTGAACAAGGGTCTGAAGTTATTCTAGGGATCCCTGGCAGTCATAATCCTGGGATCTGTCTGACTTCTTTGTCCTGAATTTTTGCTCACCCTTTCTAGACAACTCACATAATGTTGAGGAAAATGATCCATCATTCCCACTGCCTTTCCTTAATTATCTCCAGGTCTGGAGAATGTAATTATAATTTCAAGTAGCATTTCATCAAGTCTGGTAAATAAATGGTATCCATGTACAAAGAAATAAAATGTATGGTAGATCCAGGTATAGATGCTGTAGAAAAATGGAGGCCAGTACTCCCGCTGAATTAGATATTAAAACTGGTAGATTGACTCCAGAACATAAATCAACAACATGCATTGACAGGGCTGCTCCTGTCAGCATTTTACAAATACAATGAATGTGTTATTGGAAACCATAATTAGAAAACAACACCAGAACACCATGTGATTTGATAATATAAATGCACAGACTATATTTACAAGAATTCTAGTGAGAGAAACATGGTCTGTCCAAGTGTAGCCCTTTATATTGGGTTTGTGGGAGAGGATATTTGTATTCTAAATAATGTTTTCCACATCTAGTTAACAGAATCATTTAGGGGGAAGAGTTCCAAAAGTAGATTCTCCTATTCTTTTTTTTTAAAGATTTATTATGTGTGCACACAGAACTGGAGTACAGGCCAGAGGCTCAGGGGTGGCGAAAGGCTTCACCGGAGATAGAGTGGGGAGCAGAACAGGCAGATTGACGAAGTACACTGCTGAGGGGAGCAGCGGGCGGGTCAGGAGAGGTCTGCCACGCCATGTGGTTACCTCCAGGGCAGGTGGGACTCGAACTCATGCAGAAGTGGCTTTAGCTTCTTAGTGTTGTGCTTTAACCAGCTGCACCACTAGGGAGGGCCTCTCCTAGATATTCTAATTCATAAAAATTGAGACCAAGTATGTGTTTGCTTGTTTAATTTTCTAGTTGATTTTGGTGACCCACAGGTTTGGGAATAACTCTAAAATATTTAGACTACCTTGCTACTCTTAAGTACAATATATACAAATACCCATTTTTATTGCCTGGATCAGTGGATTAGGATTATAAGTACTGGTGAGAACTGATTCCAAGATATCTCTTTAACAATAGAAAATTGGAGACAGATTGAGGAAGAAAGTTTATACCAGAAGGGGGACCACTCAGTAGTTAAGTGCAGTTGTCCTAAACTGACTCAGTAAACTTCAACTTCTCTATTAGTTTAACCTGTGAAATAACAGTACAGACATGGTTTAGTTTTTCTCCATCATTTAGAGGTTGAGTTTTTCCATCACTAAGAACAGTACCCTGGCAATTCAACTAGGATATGAGGACATTAGGTCTTGTAAAGTTGAGAAAATCACTATGTAAGATAACATACTTTACACTCATATTTCTTGGCTTGTAATCAAAGGTATTATGCAAAGCAAACCTTGAGATCCTCATCTAGGTTTTAGAGTAGGAAAAAGAATCAGAGAAAAGAAAAATAAAAGGCAAGATTAGTTTTAAAGAACTAGAGGATGACTCAACCCATTTCCTTCTACAGTTCAAGGAGATGCGGTTGTTGCATCTAACAAGAAAAGACTTTTAGTATTACCTTAGACTTGTGTAACAGCTGCTTCCCTTTTCAACTACCCAAGTATCTTCCCAGAAAGACCATCTATATGAAATCTTTAGTCCTTTGTGGGTCATAGATCTTTGAAAATTCTACTAAGAAACAGACTACAAATTTTGCAAGCAATCTCAGGGACCCGTGGTCTGCAATTTACGAACTGTCATCCTTGCAGAGAGAAACTAGTGGCCTTTCCATTCAGCAAATGAATTTCAATTGACCGCAAAATGCCTGTTATTATAATGCACAGATCAGAACCTGGCCTCTTAAACATCTATGTTAAACCCTGTTTGCAGGGGTTGTTAGCCATGTGAATGTTAAAAACACATTATGCTGGAAACTGCTAAATGGGTTATATGCAACATCATTGAAGTCCTTAAAATCTGTATGATTGAAGACCTTACGTAACTTTCCCAGAGTACCATGATTTTTTGAGTTACACTAGTTCCTCAATTGCTTTCCCATCATGAAAGATTTACGCTCACCAACAGCAGTGAAAATTTTGTAAGGGTATTATTCTTAGGAGAAGAGGCTTCTAGTATTTATAGCTGCAATATCTAGCATTAATTTGAACCTTACATCCTGCTAACTCAAATTTACTTTCTTACCTGCAATTTTATAACCCAAATCACTCTTACCCATTGTATTTATTAGTGATCTCTTTGAAAAATTAAACTACGTTTTACTTACCCTACTGCCCTTTGTCTAGGCATGGGGTCTCAGCTAGCAACGATAGGAATCTGCTCTGCTTAGTTCTCACTAGAAACTGACATGGCCTCCCAGATGAAAACTCTAACAAATTCAATAGATGTTTCATCTACCATAAATTGTTCATAAATGTGCACCTATATATCTTATTTTAAAGTAGTCATTGATCCTTTGCCTGAAGATGAATTAATGCCTGAACATTGCACTTCAAAAATTATTTTATTAAATCTCTCAAGTCTAATATTACTTCTGTCACTTGATATAGTCACTGAAAAAACTGGTTAAGCTGTTGCAGATAGGCAAAATAATCTAATTATCATGACAGCCAAATAAACTGTAGGATAACTAAAAACTCCTTTAAACAGATAATTTTAGCAGGTATTAAAATGTAACACAAAACTAGTATGACAGTATCTTGGTAAATTTTTAAAGGCAAAAAGTATCTAACCTTCCCCCCAAAACACAAAGTAGAACATTAAATAACAGATGCTAAAGGCTAATGGATGAAAATGGCAAATTAACCACTTATACTTAAGTATTATTTTCACAATAGCAGTTATTAGTGCAAGCAACACTAGAAGTCCAACTTTTAACATCCCTTGGGGTGGGGGTGGGGGGATACTTTATGAAAACACCATCACAGTAAGGATTTTTCTCATGGGGTGGACATAGAACACACAAGTGTTCAAAGGTATTCTTTAACGAAATACAGCTCTACAGTTTCTATATAGAAAATCTAATTCATATTTGTTTGCATGGCATTCTAATTTGCATGTTTGAATGTGTTTTAAGTGCTAGGGATAAGAGAGAAGCATATTACACAGCAAGGATCAACTAATGATTTTTAATTTGCCATAGATTATACACACAGATCAATTAAGAAATTACTCAAGCACTATTGTTTAAGTTGAGCTCATCTAGGCTACTTTATTTTGGGGTGCTAATTCCTGAACCCTAAAATGTAAGTGCTTAAGTAAATGCTATTTTATTAAATTCTTGCACAAAACTTTTATGAATATTAGATTTCCTATTCATTTCTGAGAATACTGATTACTCTAATTCCTGAACAGCTTTGGTTATGTTATTTCAGATATATACAATGTGAGGTTCTGTGATGATAGTTTCAATCAAAATCATCAGGAAAAGTCAAAGGTTAGCCACCTGGAAATCAACCTGTATCTTGTCATCTTGCTTTTGAACATCACATGTGAAATATGATTTAGCAACATCAGTATACATGTACTAAAAAAATGTACTTCAGTGCAGACAAAAGTCTTAGTGATATCACAAAATGGCCAAACTTTTACTTCTGACTAGAACAGAAATGCACTCTAGGGAGAAACAGTGCTCTTTACTAAGAGCAAAGACCAGCTTTTGTGTGTGAATAACTATCAGTATCAGGTGGGACTTTACATTTTTTTATGTATGACTGCTTTTAAGTAGATTATACAAACACAGGTTGCCTTCAATTAGTTGTTTTACTCACAGAAACCCCTCTGTAGTGTAAAGCTACATATCTTATTGCTAATCAAACCAGCAACCACATCTCCAGTTTACATGGTAATACTTAAGGAAAAGCATCATATTTTGTATTCAAACAATTAGTATAGCAAGAGTCAAAGTCTGCATACACATCTACATAATGTGGAAGCAATAACCTTCCCAATTTATATGACAGTTACCCAAAATTTTTTTAAGAGTAGAGGGTTTTAGATGACTAGAATTTTCTATGTAGATTGATATAAATTTTTGAAGTTAGATATTTTTAAAAAAGCACTTTTAATTACTTCCTAAGACCATTAAATGCACATGAAAAGATTTACTAAGAATGATTCTAATCACTTTAAAGATTTTTAAAGTTATACTTTACTTTTTCCATGATACAAATTAATATAATCAATTTCATTAATGCTCAATTTCTAGAACTCTAGAACTCAAAACGAGTCATTCCTTGTGAATGAGTCAGGACTAGAATATGCAAGACAGATAAAGGACTTTTCCAAAATATGCAAAGAACTTTAAGACAAATTTGACTAATGATGGGACCAAAGATAATACCCCATCTTTTACTAAAGAGGATATGAAAAAGGCAAATGAAAACATGAAATAATGCTCTACTTTTGTCAGTAGGGAAATGTAAATGAGCTGATTCGTTACATGTCCAAAAGCCAAGACACTGACAATAAATGTTGGAAGATGTGGAACAGAATTCTCATACATTGCTGGTAGGATTACAAAATGGTACAGCCAAGTTGGAAGTTTGGTAATTTCTTACAAAACTAAACATTCTTATCACATATCCAGCAATTGATATTCTTTACCTAGAGTTGAAAACTCAGGTCCATACAAACCTGCACAAGGATGTTTATAATAGCTTTATAATTGCCAAAACACAAGTGACAAAGAGGTCCTTTAGTAGGTGAATGGGTCAATTGTGGCACAGTAGACAGAATACTGAGCGATTCTTGTGAAGATATTGCTGGTAATTAAATCAGTGATGTCAATTTGAAAAGGTCATATACAAGGCAAGGTCAGTAGTTGCTAGGATCTAGGGGAACAGGCAAAGCACAGTTTTGAGGCAGTGAACATACAGGTAAGGACACATGACATATTTATCTAAACTCACACATCAGGAGTGAATTTAAATCCACTCTTGGGTGGAAGTTGGTAATAGGGAATACCAGTTGTATGTACAAGATGAGGGTACATGAGGAAACCTTTGTACTTTCAAAGTTAACCTAAAAATGCTCTAAAAATTTGTCATTAAAAACAATTTCAGTGGGGATACTTAGTTATGTGCCAGGCACTATGACATGACTTTCTTTCCAAGTTAATTCATGCTGTGGGGAGCCCAATTCAGATCAAATCTAAGGTTCTAGTTTGCAGATAAAGCTCAGGGAATAGAACTGACAAAAGGTCATACAGCTAATTCATGTCAGTCATCATGTGTGTCCTAGAAAAACATTTGTAATGATTTTATGCAGATTAGTCTATTTGGAGAAACAGTATATTCCCAAAATGCTCCAAATTTGAAAAGCACATCTGAAGTTAAGGCCCATCATAGTCCAGTCTAAGATACAGTAAGGCTTGTGTGCAGATCTAAATTAAGATCCAAGTCTTGCCAGCCTTAACCTACTAGTGCAGATCTGCTCTATTGTTTCTTAAAAATTTTAGGAACATTACCAGAATCATTCCTACAGTTACAATGAACCCTAAGGTTACATCTTTCCATCTAGGTCTCGATTCTTACAACTTTGACTTCAAAGTCTATCAACAGCAAATATTTGATGGGTAGCACTCAAGGATGTCTTGAACTTTGAAAAAAAATTGCTTTCTAAAGACCATTTTCAAGTCTTGATTCTTTCATATCCATTTCAGAATATACTATATTATCTCATCATAGACTTCTACATACATTTTCCCTACTTGAAAAAAAGTAGCAACATCCAAAGAAATGTTAACAGATGTAAGAGTGAACCAAATTGTTTTCATTTCAGACTTCATCTCTGAGAAGCCATGGTTCTTTTAGCTTCAACTGCCCCACGGGCAAAAGTAAGCGTATAGCACCGTTACCCATTGTTCTTTATTATCTGGCATGACACTTGCATAGACCAAGTCCACATCTATATTGGAACCAAACCCAAAACAGCAGTAAAACCATGCCAGTTTTTGTATGCAAAATTGCCATACCTATAATACAAAAATCAAAAAATCCATAAAAAGCAGGCCCTAATTGTTCAAATTTCCTTTCCTGAGTTCTACATTGTTTTGCTTCTAAAAATGCCTATTCGTCAAAAATAAATTGCCTACTGTACACATACATGAAAATTTCACAAAACTCACCTCATGGTTCTCATTTCAATGTATCATGCTCAGGGATGGCAATGAAAAAGAAACAAAAAGCTACAAGATAGCCATGCAAAACCTACATAAGCAACTGAAAAGTTGAGTATGAAAAAAATCTGATAATCCCCTTTAGGACTTCTAACTATGGCTTAAAAACCCAATGAATAAGTAAGTGGAAGTTTCCCTCTGTACATGGCTTTTATTATTTACATAATACAATATAGCATCAATGCTGAGTAGCATGATTATGTGCAATACATAAATATGGAACTATCTGTACACATCTGCATATCTAACGAACTAAGGTACATAAAATTGAAAGCAAAAGTGAATGCTTTGAGAAAAGTAAAAACTAGGACTGAACACTGCAAGAAATCAGTAGTGCCTTGTGTACATACTTAACTATTTACATATGAAAACAGGCATTACCACAACACTAACTATACTCATTTATATATAAAAAACACAAGTTTCATACATCACAAAAACCTTCCATTATAACACAGAAGTGATATTACCAGACAAGCATCAGTGAAGTATACTGCCTCTTCTAGTTGTTATTGTACAATGCTGTAGATAATGCAGCCCATGCAATACACCCAAGAACACTAGAGTCCTACACCCAAGTACAATATGATAAAGCAGCCCTCTGCAAGTGGTGCTGGATACCACTAAGAAGTCTACTGCAGCCATATTGGTTATGATTTTCCATGCAGAAGGGTACAGTTACAGTAAGAACTGAAGTCTTTAAAAAAGCTTTAAACATTCTTTCTTGGAACCAAAACATTCAACAAAAGATGCACATGAAAAATTAACTGTTCAGATACCTTTGCAACTTAAAATTCAGATGCATGTTATTCAATAGAGCTGCTGTATGAGAAAACCAAACGTAGTTTATTTCTTCTTTTAAACAAATTAATTCTAGTGCAGTTCTGTGCTACATATTTTTTAGCAATGAGTAATGCAGACATCTTCTGGTGTAGGCCAGCACAGTAAGCTTCAAAGATATCTCAAGACCCCTGTTGGCTTGGTGGTTTTTACTCGTGTTATTTACCAGCCACAATGATTACCTTTCTCAGAATTTCTTATTCAACCAATTAACCAGGCTTACATAGGGCACACCAAATACTGGTTTCACCAAAAAAAAAAGAAACTTATGATCTTCTGTATAGTTTTCTTCTGGCTTCCAAAGAACCTATCATGGAAATTAACAGGGTGAATTTTAATTATGGTAGAAATAGATTGCCAGTCTTTTTCTGGTGTACCATTTCTTAAAAAAAAAAAAAAAAAATAAAATAAAAAATAAATATACAGGCACATAACACTAGCCAAAGATTATACCTTGATTACATTCCCAAAAGGCAGATATGCTGCAAACATGCAGAGATTTATTTTGTTTGGCACAAGGGAACTAAATTTTGTCCCTATTATTTGTGTATTTTGATTTGTTGTGCAGATTTTCATCCAATTTTATTCAGGGGAGGGCATATACATTTTTGTAGGGCTGTATCTAACCAATTCTGCCTGTAACAAACACCCAAACATCCTAAAAATATCAATTATAAGACAGACAAATGTAAAGTAAAACTCTGGAGAACATCAAAGGAAAATGGCCATGCATCTGCTCTTTAATGTTTTCCTACGATATATTAAAATAAAAACAGTTTCAGTCTCTTCACAAGTAGTAATTTATATTCTCTGGATTTTTTCAGCCACAACAACTGGATTCTCTTTTCTGATTTTTGCTGCAGCTTCTGCTTTGTAATCATATGGACAGTTGTGCTTGTCAGAGTAACGGTGAAGTCCACAAAACAAATTTCCACATCGGCAGTCAAACCCTGTACATACAAGAGGAAGTAGAGTCACTTAGGAACTTGTAGCTATTAAAAATAAAGTCTTAGTTTCATAGAAAACAAAATTTTCATGGCTCTTTTACAACGTGCAAGACAACAGTCTCACTTTAAATTGTAAGAGCTTTTAACTACCTTTGAAAGTTTAAGAAATAATTACTGTTCCATAGTGTAGAAATTACACAGGTCCTGCAACAGTCTGACCTGGATTCAAATTTTAGCCCTACCATATGTTAACTGAAAATGTCCCCTCAGGTAAAAACCACGGGTAGACAGATCTTTTAAGAAAAATCTTAAAAGCTTTGAAATTTACAGCAAATCATTAAAAAGCATCTAGCACATTTTGTATGTGGTTCCAAGTATGCTTACCGTCCTGTTCAAGCTACCCTTTCCCCAAGATAACAGGAAAAACCCAAAAGGGAGGAATTTTCATCAATTCAATAAAAAGACATGGAAGTTAATAATAAAGGGTTTCATATGACTAGAAAAATAGAACTTAAATTCAGCTTCTGACCTAGCCCAGTCAACTACAGTCAGAGTTTGGCATTCTGTTTTATGTTGTTACACCAACAACCTCATAAGGAGTTGGAGCTGTTCGTTACACACTAGAATTTGTCTTACATATTGTGTAAATACCTGTAAGGCCAACTTTCTTTCTGCACATGAAACATCTGTTCTTCTTTGGTTTGGGTAACTCAGGAGCTTTTTCTTCACTTTGCGAAGTACTAGGCTGAGAAACTGATGGACTAGGCTGAGTGACAACTGTAAAACAAGGGTAAAAATCAAATTAGAGTTTTATTTAAGTAGGGAAAAAAAGGGAAAAAATTTAAGAGAAAGTTAAGACTTTTGGACAACCTTCTTAAAAGGCACTTTAAACAGAACCTTTTATACCTACTGATCATTTGTTGCCAGTCAACATACTTGTTTCTCTAAACTTTAAGATGCTTATTCCACCCAAATACCTTGAAATTCATTCTTAACACCTGAGAACAAATCCTAATGCTAAAATTTAAAGTCACTAAGATTTAATGTCCTATATTCTGCTTTTTATCCTATAATTAATTAAATGAGCTAAGTTCCCACCATACTACTATTTAGAAGTTCATTTAGAAAGAAGCTTCCAATTTCTAAGGTACCTGGCTATAAAAAGGTCATTTTGGTTCATAATGCTAGAAAACAACGTCTAGTTAAATCCAGCAAATAAAGACAAGTAAACCCAAATCATCCCTAACTTCAGATCCCCAAATTTCATTATTTTGCCATTTTAGAAAATGCTTTGTCCTACAGAGTTTTTGAAAAAACTTTCTTTTAAAAGCCTGGCAAACTTTCTGTTAAGGACAGTATTAATTATACTACTATAGAAGTAGTTATAAAGGATTGGTTTTAAGTCTATTAAGTATTACATAGCAAAACAAGATTTTTTGAAGCACAGCTTCTACTTTCTGACCTTTAGTTCACCACTAGAAGTCTAATTCTAGCTTTCCAGTAAGTTGTAACTCATACATGATATAAACAGAATGTCTATAGTATAAAGATAAAACTGCATATTGCTGTATTTAAGCCCACAGTGCCACTAATATAAAAACAAAATACCAATTTTTACTTTTATAAAATCAACAAAATCAGAACTTGTAAACTCTTTTGAGAGTTTTAATATTAAACTCAAACCCAATAATAAATGTTAATGTATGCAGTGCTAAAATTACTGCCTAAATAATATGGCAGCACCAATGCTATTAGCCTAAATACCAAACTGGTTTAAAGACAACTTACTCTAAAATCCTACCCAATTTTATTCATTTGTTACCCAGTGAGATTAACAGGCTGACATTAGACTTAAGAGTCTACCTACTACATATGCCTAATAACCTAATGTAATAATGTCAATTTTCCTGATAATTTGAGGGTAAAGTATAACCTGTAAAAGTCTGGGGTGTGAGGGATATCCATTTTCTTTGTCATAGCAGTAAAGTGAATAGTAATTCTTAAAGCCACACAGGGAAGGGGAGTCAACAAAGAATAAAATGATACGGAAAAGACAATAGTAAACTACAGGATACCTACTAAAATAGAGAATAGCTACAGATCTGACCAAAATGAGTTATTGTTCCAAAGTCAACTAATTTTGTGTTTTAAAAAACCCCAAATCAAAGAGAACAAAAGCTACACAAAGACAAGGATAAGTAACTATTTTTCAGAGGAACTACTTCAAAATAAAAAATATGGTTTCATTTGCTAAACTGGAAATTTCCCCATAAATTTGTAACCTGATATAGTTTGACTAAGTTTGGCTAAGTGATATTAGAAAAACCAGCCTCCACAACAGACTGCATTTTCACTAAGACAATTTCCTTATAATCAAGTTTTATGCTATGCTCAGTCAACACTGTACCAGGAAATAACAAGCTACGTGCAAAACATAAAGTAGATCCTTGGTTCCAGAGCCTACCACAGGTGATTCAAAGAAGTCAATCTTCAGGCAATACTGGAGCACATCTGATTGCACCAGCGCAAGTAGACTTATGATTAGCTAATGATAACCAAAATGCCTTTCGATGCTGAGTTTTTAATTCCCACAAACTATACAATTAAATTTTAAGTTTTAGAAATATTCAACATGTTTTTTATGCTTGAATATTGTTAATATGCTTACATACAATATTATACTGTCAATACTGCTAATTACCGCTTCCAACTTCTAGATTCATGACAAGTTTAAGGTTTTTAAAAAAGACAGTAGTTCTTGCTTGGTCCATATTTTATAACTACTATCCTCTCTGGCCCTTCAATGGGAAGGAAAAGATTCTCCCACCAACCATTTCTCCTACCAAGTCCAGTACTGAACTATTATTAAACAAAAAGCATACCTGGCTCTGACACCTCTGTTTTCGGGGTAGTTATTTTGTCCTCTCTTGAAATGCTCATTTCTGTCATTTGCTGAGTTACAGGCAAGGCAGCCACAGGCACATTTCTATTTGAGTTCAAGCAAACATTTTTAAAGATGTTAAGGGTACTTCTTTGTATGACAGCAAGTTGTCAGTTCAACTTTAAATTATTTCCAGATGATCAAATGGAATCAAGTAATTTAAAATTTTTAAAATATTGGATGCCCAGTATAAATGGTTGAGAATATAGAAAGCAATTTGAAAAACAGTTTATCGATTCTAAGTTGCATATTTATATTAAGTTCTATTATAGCCAACTAGGTTGTTAGCTGTCTCTGTTATTTCTGTGCAAAAGGGGGCAAAGCTTAGCTAAAATGCCTTGTGTGGTATTACAATGCAGTCTGCAGAGCTTTGACTATCCATAATCCCTAAACCTCGGTAACACAGAAATTAGAGCACAGCATTCTCAACACAGCATCCTTGAGGGTGTGATGGAATGTTATTATATACACAGTCAGTAACTTATAAGACATACTAAAGGTTACTAGAATCCCTGGATTATGTCAACACATGCAAAATCAAAGACAAACTAACACCCTCATTAACATCCGGAACTGTAATACAGCTATTTTTATTTCTCCTTATATTATCATAAAAACCCTTGAATGCTCAATCTTACCTTGATTTTTCAGATGTGCTGCCAGCAGCACCTTCACAGTTGTTTAAACTAGAGTCTGCCCTCTGTACAGATGCAGAATCTGAGGTAGGACTGTTGGAACCACTAGCTGTCCCTATTTAAAAAAAAGTTATTTGTCAGAAACAAAGCAACAATACAAAACATTTAGTTACAAAACTATTAATAAGTAACAAATACTTGCATTTAATTAGGTTAGTGATTTAAGCACTTTCACTGTGTTGCACTGAGTAGCCAAACAAAAATACACATTAAAAAAAAGCCATATCCAATGGACACAAGTATGAAACAAAACCTCAAGAAGGAAATGAAAAAGTAAAACGATGTTTGTAAAACTGTTGTTCATTCCTGACGCAGTCAGACCAAGTAGCTGGGTTGCTGCTTTCATTTCAAGCCTTTTTTGTTTTGTATAGGTCTTCTCTCCTCGAGCTTTCAGCATTGAGTCTCAGTCTTAGGCCCCAGTTATCCACATAGTTCTTCAAACGGGTTTTTGCTTGGAAATAACTTACCCATCGGGCTCATTCTGCCACTATTTTGCTGTCTCTGAAGATGTTCTTTGTAGCATACAGAACACATTCCATTTGTCCTAGGATTCCCATAAAAGCCACATCCTGTACTACACAGCATGGGCCCTGGGGTCTGGTTAGTCTCCTGAGCCATATTTTTCTGCTATAAACAAAACAAAACAAAATTTTAGAAACATGCAACCAAAATAAACCACTAAATTAGGACAATATATTCTACAGTGTACCTTTATTTCTAAACTTTGAGCCTATTTCTAACAAAAGCTCAATTGAGTTAATCATTTAAAAGAAATAGTCAAGAAAACTACATGTTGCCTTTTTAAAACAAAGCGTATGAAAAGAATTGTTCCAGCTTAATAAATGAGTTATGACCTAATATTCTTTAGAAAAAGAAAACTTGATAATTAAATATTAATACATTATCTCACGTGTCACAATTGTTCTTTGTTTCAGTTTCTGAAAAGGTCACTCTTGATATCAGAAATACATTTAAATCAATTTGGACAACTGGTATCTTTAAGTCACTTTCTGCTTTCCTGTACTATACAGGCAGACTTTATTAAATGACTGAACTTCCACTGGTTTAAAATGATTAAAATTTGCAAATAAGGAAATCTATAATAATCGCAATTACTGACTCCTAATGTTTATTAGAGTTCTTTAAACTGGATGTATACTAGATGCAGGTCTAAAACTTTCTTATATTGAACATACTAGTGCCTGCCTTAGTATTTCAAAAATTTTACTATAGGGTAAAGCACTGGTACTTCTAAAATGCTGAAAGAACTGGCATTATCACCTAGCCTTTCCTTGTTACCTTGGTACCGACAACTGAAGTTCTTTAAGAATTCAGGGGTTGGCTGCTTACAAAATCTTTTATGTACTACATCTGAGGTGTGAAATCTGGTAGAGTATTTTAAAGTCAGTGCCTAGAAACCTTCAGTGCACAAATTATCAGCCACAGTGTACTTTTCATCAAAGGTTTATCTAAACCATTACCAAGCACTTGCTTTCCTCATACCAAAAAATAATGAAACCTTTCCAAGCTCAATTTCTACACTGCAAAGTAATTCAATATAAATACACAACCTTTAGTAATGGTTAATATTTAATGTTAGGCTACCAGAAAGAACTTAATACAATAGCATGTATACCCTTTGCTTTTCCAGAAGTCTCATTTAAATTAGCACAAACAGCAATGTTTTGCTAAATTTAGTAAATTTTCCCGAGTTAGAGATACTCATTACTTAAGAAAAATTTAAGCAGCAGTCATGGAGTTTTCCATTATCACCATTATTCCATTATATGAAATGTCCAACAAAAGAACATGATAATATTTTATTTAAGGGAAATCATGTACTATAATTTGTGGTCAGTGTCATTTAAACACATCTTTATTTTGGTAATGAAGATTACTTAAGATTAAGTTATGAATACTGCACATTAAGTGCAGGGAAGTCATTAGAGCTTACCACCTAGAATTTCCTATTTTTTCCCCCAATTACCACACACTAAACTACACACTTTAGTGAGCTACTAAAAACATCATTTTGACAAGTCTTAACACTTTTCACCAAAATTCTAAAAATGGAAGTCAACAGATTTTCACCTTGCCAGAGAAACATGACTGTATCCAAAACATTTAAATGTTCTTTAGAAAAGGATACTGAGCAATTAAGTTTGTAGAGTGACCAAGCTTACTTCAAATAAGACTAATTTAGTTGACACTGTCTCTTTAAATAGTAAGTGGAATTTAGCTGACTCATTTTGGAGCAGGGTAGTGTAAACATTGCAGCATCACTTATGAAGTTTATTAATAAACACTTTCAGTCAGGCTTTTAAATTTTTTTGTAGTGTATGTGCAAAAAAAAGCTTTATATAATAAATGAAGTATTTGTAAGCCCACCATGTAAAGTACATATATCTTGGCCCCATGCTAAAAGTTGAGCCATTCCTTTAAGAGCAGCTTAACAAATATGCTAGTTCATGCTTTCTACACTAAAACTCCTGTGTCATCTGATACTGGCTTTAAAATGCAAATTGGCCTAAATTTTCATCCACTCATATTAATACTAGTCAATCTGATTCTCAAAATCTTTGGCTTTACATAGATAATATGGGGCCTGGGAGAGGTGTTCTCTTGTTATGATTTCACCTACTTCCACAAGCAAGTTATTTCTACCTTTCCTTCTACAGAATACACACCTATTTTCAACTAACTATAAACACCCAACACTGAGACACAATAGACACCCATAGTCTCCTATATGGGTTCACATCCTGTAATTTCCAACCCCCCCCCCCAAGTCAGCCTTTAAATGCCATCACATGTGCACAGCTTGCCTTAATATTTCTCAGCAGCTTAGATCACATGGGCGGGCGTTTCAGCCTGTCACAAGGCTGCAATGTGACAGGCTGAGCTGGATGGAGGCTCTCACATAAAGCCTAGTCAACAGGGGCCTCTGAAATCAGCTTCTATTTTTATCTGGAGCCTGCCAACTCCTACACAACCCCAAGAACTAAGGATGCAGCTTCATATACTGAACATAATAATACAAAATAAAAAGAAGCCATTAAGGCTGCTACAGTTTTTTCTAATGAATAGAGGACTAAAGAACAATCTCAAACTCCACATAAGATGCAATCATCATTAATCACTCATGAAACCAATACGATCAGGGTTGTTTATGAAAGCCAACACAGCTAAAAGCCATCAGGTCAGAAAGAATCCCCATGTTTAGGTGCAATTGGGGAGGTGAAATATGGAGTCTGCCATTACGATAGGTATTGTATTTTCTTTTCCTCCTACCTGGCAAAATTTTAGAAAAATATCAATTCAATTTAGTACCTTAAAAGTTACCAGGCAGAAACATCAGCTCTCTTAGATACAACTAGAATGTACAGTTTTTAGAGCTGTGGTTTCCACTAATTCATAGCTTAAGAAAAACCCAAACCTGGTCATGTCACTTAAAATTTCTCCAGCCTAGATTTAAAAAAAAAAAAAAAGGCTTTTATATCCTGGAATGTAGTCCTTCAGGAGCACAGACTGGTGTAAGATTTTAAGAATGCCTACTCACCTGGAGTTGAGCCCCCATGAGTGCCAGTCTGTAATCTACTTCCAACTAAGCCAGTGACCTTGGACAAGTCCTTACACTTCAAGTCTCAGTTCCTTCTTTGCCAAATGGAGTAGAGGAGTGTGATTTTTAAAAAGGGTCTTTGCCAGGCTGAACATGGCCTGGGATAGAAAGTCGGAGAGAACTACAAAACTCCCCACCCCAGACGTTTTAACAAAGAACTTACGAAACTGCGATGTTTTCAGTAATTCGATCCCGCAATTCTACTTTATAAAAATGACTAAAATTACAGCTCCGGATTTTTTTAAAAGTCTCTAAGTTACCTGAATGCAGGTTAAGAAAAGGGGCTGTGACCTATATTACTACGTTACCCTAATAAGTCCTCAGACAAGAGTCCTGCGAGGCACTCAACCGATAAAAAGATAACCGGGTCCTTTCCTTAAAATACAGCTCCACGAAATGCGTGGAAAGCGAGCACACAGTTCCACGCTCAGCAGTCTAAATGCACGAAACAAAGGGGAAGGTGCTCTATTTCCTTCCTGAGGAGGATTTTGGGCGAGACGCAGCGACGCTGGGAAAACTGAAACACGACGAGGTAAGTCCCTCTCACCCCAGCCCCCCTCCCCCGCCGATAATTTTAGAACAAATTCGGGTCCCACAGTTTGCCCCTCACCCTCCGCCTCAAACACCACCCCCCCATGCCCCTCTAAGCGTAGGCCTCGCTCAGGAAAGCCCGGCTGGGCCTCCTCCTCCAAAAACCACTGAGTCATGCAGAACAGTAGCCGGGCTCGGCCAGGCCAGCCCCTCACCCCACCCGCCCCGCGCCGACCTCCAACCCCGAACCGCTCCGCCGGGGAGGCGGAGAGCTGGGAGGTGCGGCGGGTAGGGGTCGGGGGCGCGGTCGCTGCCACGGCCTCTTTGTCTCTCTGGGACCAGCTGCCCACCCCGCCGGGCGCCGTCGCTGGAGGGGGCCAGACGGACGCCCGCTGCCTGAGCTCTCCGGGGCCGCACGCCGGGCATTGTTCCCCCATTTTCAGCGTCGAGGGTGAGCCGGGCCGCAGGCCACCACCACAGGATGACGCCTCCGTCTTTGTGCTTCCTGAACTGGCGGGCGGGTTCCCCTCCCCCGGACGCCGCCATCCGCGGCCCGCTCGGGCTTCGCGGAAGGCCCGCGGCGTTCCGGTCCCCCTACTCCCATCCCCCGGGCCGCCACGAGCAGCCAGGCGCCCTCCCTCAGCGCCACCCGACTCACCCTGAGGGGGCAGGAGCAGAAGCCGGGCTCACGCGCGACGCCGGCGCGGTGTGGTCGAGACGAGGCCTCCGGGTCTGGCGAGCCGGGCGCCCTGGAGCCGC